ACTGGCTATTCCTATAAATCAATAAACTGCTATGAACAATTTGAAAAAAAAAGAAAGTGTCTAAAACTCAGTTGAACGAAGCTGCCTGTGGCTGTGAAAACTACGTCTATTTCTACGTCTTGTCAACCATATGCCTACAGGACTTTTTCAAACATGTTACGTTTGATTTTTTTCTTTCGGATGACGTAAACAATGATAGAATATATCACTTTAAAAATATCATAAGATCAAGATAACATATGAAACCAAAGAAGATTGACTTTAACATTTTTATAATAAGATCGAATAACAACATGCAGTTCTAAAAACATTTTGAAAGGCTTAGCCACAGGACGAAAAAATCTTGTTCAAAACATGCGTTTTTTTTGTAATGAAACTTGAAATACAATATTCTATATGTCTGTGCAACCCAATAAAAAGTGTATGTACTTTAAAATTAATATAGATAAGCGATCGTTCTGTTGATAATATATGGACTGTGCAGTACATTTCTTTTATCTGATGTATACATAGTATACATTGTGTATGATTAAGGGGAATAGGAACATGTACACACTGTTTCTAGTGCCTATACTAAAGCAGAAAATAATACAGTAAAATTATCAATACGAGTCTGTGAGTCCTTACTTTAACTCTGGAACAAGGTGGCCACCAGAAAGAACCATTTCGCGGACTGATTCGGTCCACAAAAAGTTCTTCTACAGCTAAAACGGCTATTTACATATTTGTTTAATCTATGACATGAAATCGCCATTATATGATTGCACGTACTTGTCTGTCCATTTATGTTTATATTTATGTGCATATCGGGTCATATGACATTGGCATTTTTCGGAGATCATCTCGATGGTTAATCAGATTGATAATGTCCCCGAAATGCTGATAAAAATTCAGACATTTCAGATATGTTCTATTGGACTTTTTGTAATATGTTTTATTATGTTATTATTCAAATATGAAAGTTTGAGTCAAATTGGTAACATGAATTCGAGAGCTAATGCCCTGAGGTACAGGTACACATAAAATTATGTGCTAAGCGATCCTAAACTTAGTGTTAGTGTGTCGTATTCTAAAGAAATAATTTGTGTATATGACATAGATCTTGTTTTTGTTTTTAACGATTAAACCAACCCCCAAAAAAATATTTTCATACTAAAGGTTGATAATATAGAAAAAAAGATGTAAAGTATGTGCGATTGTTGACAATGCTTTATGTGTAGTAAGATGGCTCAAACTCAGACGCCAAAATATGTTGTCATTTGTACGTTTTTATATATCCTTGGCTTTCGAATGTTTATATTTGGTCGTCCTATATAAAGGTAAAAAGCAAAATGTAACTGCCTATGATGAAAACAATTGTAAGTATATGTCTCTACCAAGCCCTTCCTGTTATTGTTACACCCTCCAATGATCATGCCAAAATTGTAAGTACATGTCCTCTAAAGCCCTTCCTGTAGCTCTTTAGATGTTATTCTGTTTTCGGGGTAAACGAAGCCATGCTTTTATCATAATACATCACCTGCACTTTATTATTTCAATCAATGACACTCTACCATTTATATAGAAGCGTGTAGATAAAAAAAATAAACATTTGTGCAACTCTATACTAATGACTTCTCTAAAAACTTGATTGTTTTGTACAAATTTGTACTACCGTGTTATTTGTGGGAGTTTTGTTTGTCTTTTCGTCGTTTTTCCTGTTGGTAATGATATTGCCCATTTTGATTGAATTTGGTTTTAATAGCCCATTATAATCTTCTTCCTCTTTTTTATGTTTTATAAATACACAAATGATAGCGTGACGGTAAGGGTGTACGCTACTGTTGTTTTTGACTTTTTGTCAGATATTCTGAATCCTCTAGTTTTATCCATATAGTGCCAATAAAAATTTTGCCTGCGAAGCCCTACTTTAATTTTTCAAAATTTTAATACATATTATTTAAAAAGCCATTTTTCAAAACCTTATAAAATCCTTGTTATTTTTTCATAGTTTTTGAAAGAAACAAGGTGCCAATGTTAAATGTATGAATAATCTAGAGTGAATCAGCTCCTGCCAAAATTTCAATTGATTATATCTCAAAAACGAGGATACGTACCGTTCATTTTTATCTGCTTTTTAAGTTCCCTTATGTATATACTGTCATTGTATTGCAGTCTTTTAAAAAGCTTGTTATTTTGAAACAGAGGAGCGAACATCCTTAAAGTAGTATAGGACACTAAAATAATTGTGTCTGACGCTGAACTATTGAATGAAGTTGAATGAACTTGAGCTTACCAGTCTTATTAATCGTTATGTTCATTTATCACATGACTTCATTGATGTGGTGTACTCGATATAGCTGGTTGACCTCTGATTTCCCGATCTTTTTACTCAGGACGTTCCTGGTGTAAGCGTAACCAGAAATCAGCATATAACTCAACAAAGACTTTGCACCTATATATCATATGATTATGGTATGTAGACTGCTGCTTGTTCTTTTGGTTGTTTTCCCTTTTTTCGCAATGAGCCTGTCAGTTCGTTTTCGACTTTTTCGACTATTCCTTTTATACTCTTTACAATGGATCTATTAATTCTTTTGTATATATTTAATGTTCTCAAGTAACTAGTTTAACCACACGAGAATGTGCATGTTCAATTTTATATCTAGTACCTTCTCAAAAAATGAGTGAAATAGAGCTTATCATAAACACTTTTTTTTAATGTTAAGACCGTATTCTTACCCCCGGATTATGTGAGTGTTGTTTAAATGACGTTTACCAACATCTTTAAAGAAATAATCTATCCTGAACTTATCTGAATAAATAATACTTTATGGAGAGAGGCGAAATATACCAAAGGGATATTCAAACTTATAAGTCGAAATCAAACTGACAATGCCATGGCAAAAACCGAAAAACGACCAAAAGACAAACAAGAGTACACAAATCACATTAAAGAAAACTAAAGATAGAGCAACACAAACACCACCGAAATCCGGAGGTGATCTACGGTGCTCCGGAAGAGTAAGCAGATCCTGCTCCACATGTGGCACCGTCGTGTTGATCATGTTAGTACAACATTTGCCAATAAATATAGATAAAAATAAATCACTCGACAAGACTTTTTATTTTCAAAGCGTAAAATACACACAAATTAATTATCAAAACAGCAGATTTCAAATTCGAAAAAACATCAGATTTATTAAAGCAGGAGGTATGATAAATTATCTGGTCTTCGAAGCTGTAAAAATAGTATTCAAAAATCAAGTCAGTAAAATTAATGTTAAATTTTTTTGACAGTTTTGCAAATGCAAATTGTATGTAGCCCTAAAAAAAAATATTTAAGCCAAATTAAAAAAAAAATTAGTACTGATATCTGATAGACAAATGTCTGATAAACATGTAAAGGCTATTCTTGACAGTTTTATAATACATTTTCATTTTCAAATTTAGTGGACCAGAAGTTGCCTTATCATACATTCTCCTTTGTCATCATGCACTGTTAAAAATTAAATATATGTTGTGTACAAGTTATCATTTTGTACAAATTATAATTTGTTAAAAAAAAATTGTACAAATTATAATTTGTTCAAAAAATTGTACAAATTATAATTTGTATTTTCACTTTGTACACATTTTGACTAAAATTCACTTATGACTTGTACAATAATTTAGTATGGATTTTGTTATAAAAAAAGTATTGATACACACTATAGAATTTTTATTCAATGACCACACAATTAACCTTAATTACAAAATACAAAAAAAGTTCTGTACCATTTGTTTGAGCATGTGAGTGAATTATGGCATCGGGAATTGCACAGTATCTTTTGCTTTTTACATTTACATTTAGAAGTGCTGCACTAACCTTTGCATTTACATGAAAGAAACCCCTCTGACGGACCCTAACCACCAGTTTTTGAAACCTTATTTACAAAATTCAAAAATAGTTCTGTGTCATTTGTTTGAGCATGTGAGTGAATTATGGCATTGGGAATTGCACAACATCTTTTGATTTTTACATTTACATTTAGAAGTGTTGCACCCCTCTTTGCATTTACATGAAAGAAACCACTGACGGAACCTGACCACCAGTTATTGAAAGTTTACGTCTTTAATAGCTTCAATTTGATTTCTCATCAAATATCCTGTTAAAATTCCTATAGCTGTTCCAATGCGATACCCAAATTCCCCAGATTCAAAATTTACACCTAAGATATTTTGAGGATCAGTTGGGGGAAGATCATACTGAGGAATTGGTATAATGACATTATTCCAACAGCAAGTTCTAATAATTTCCGTTTTGTTTTCTTGGTTAGATATTCGATATGATTCTGTTGGTCAGACATCGTGCGTACTCTTCCTGGCACGTATGATTGGTGTTTCAACGTCAGTGTCACCCTGGTTGTCACTGAGGCCAATTTCTATTATACTATCAGAATTGTCAATGGGGCCAATTTTTATTATTCTATCAGAATTGTCACTGGGGCCAATTTCTATTATACTATCAGAATTGTCACTGGGACCAATTTCTATTATACTATCAGAATTGTCACTGGGGCCAACTTCTATTATACTATCAGAATTGTCACTGGGGCCAATTTCTATTATACTATCATAATTGTCACCAGGGCCATTTTTTATTATTTTATCAGAATTGTCACTGGGGCCAATATCTATTATACTATCAAAATTGTCACTGGGGCCGATTTTTATTATACTATCAGAATTGTCACTGGGGCCAATTTTTATAATTCTATTAGAATTGTCACTGGGGCCAATTTCTATTGTACTATCAGAATTAACTGACATGCATGTATCAATTACATTTCCTGTCTCCATCTTGGTATTTCGTATTTTGTAAATAAGGTTTATTGTGTGGTCATTGAATAAAAATTCAATAATGTGTATCAATGCTATTTTTATAAAAAAAAATCCATACCATAAATTATTGTACAAGTTATAAGTGAATTTTAGTCAAATTTTGTACAAATTATAATTTGTTCAAAATGATAACTTGTACACAACATATATATATCATGTATCTTGACAACAAAAAATCTAGCAAAGACATATATGAACTATACAACTATACAACATGATTAAAGTCATTATAAAACTAGTCTGTTCCAAATTTTTTTTTTAAATTTAAAAAGAATTGACGGAAATGTTTGCATAAACATCAAGTTCTGAATTTTAAAAAAATCACTAAGAAAGAGAATTACTAAAATCACTCATGGAATAACTGAAAGGTTGATAGGATCCAACGTTCTTATATCAGCTTCGGCGTTTTGCATTTGCGCCAATCTGCACTTCATTTGCGCCAATTAATTTTTCCATTTGCGCCAATTTCCAGGTAAACACAAGTCATGAGACATATAAGTTTTCCAGATTTTATGTAATTACAAAAATCAGTACCCCTTCGGTCTGTCCACTGCTCACCACGGAAGTGGAAGTGGGATTTCTGGCAGAATAAGTTTATTGTAAAAGTTTCTCAAACTATATTACACGTGAAATAGCACTTTTTCCAAATAAAATAGTAACAGTTTGACGTCAAAAGCACATTTGCATATTAACAAGTCTGAGTATTTGTATGCAACATCTCTGATGAACTGCGACCTTGTGATATCTTTTCTACAATACATCCGATACTTTTCACTACAAAGTTCTCTTTTTCCTTTTTATGTTTTCTTACGGCTGCTGACATGGCGAGAGATCTGAATTTTACATAAGCTGTTGCCTGGATTTCCTTTATGACATTCATAAAAATCTAAATATTCGGGTGGTGTGAGTAAAACTGTTCATGGTAGTGCGAGTGAAACGATTCAGGGCCGTTGTTTGTTCTTTTATAGTCTAAAATGTATCAGATCTTAACTGTTCAAATTAAATTGGCGCAAATGAAAAATTAATTATTGGCGCAAATGAAAACTTTGTTTTGGCGCAAATGAAAAAAAAAATATTTTCAAAATTGGCGCAAATGTCATACGCCCATCAGCTTATATTAATCAGTGAAAACAACTAATATTTGTACACCCGCACAATATATTCATCAATCCAGAAAAACAGCATTTTAATTAACTTTATTGGCAATACAGAACACAAAAACACAAGTACTTGTACCTTTATCAAACTGAAGGAATTATGACAATTTTAATCAATTCAAGTATTCTGAAAACACTGAAACTATAAATTATTATTAAATCATATTAATCTAAATATCTCATTAAAATTATTAGAGAATTCATGAAATATAATATCCGGGATGTAAAACCCCCGTTCAACCAATATTAATTTTTCAAACATTATTACCTGATTTCGCAGTTAAAGAAAGAAAACTGAGATTTGTCATATGTGCAATGTATAATCATAATCCTTACGTCACCACTTATGTACATGTGTATGTTGCATACTCCTATATCAATTTTAATGTATAATGTATATTGTAATTTCGCAAATATGTTCTTTCTCTAATATGGGTAGAATAATAAATCTAGATAAAAAAGACAAAATGACAAGGGGAAATCAAACACCATAGCTAAAACGAACAACGACAAAAACACTAAAAACAAACAACAAAACACTGCACAGCAAACCAATGCTTTTAACTTGTTAACATTTCGAAATGGACATGATTAAAAAAAAAACGTCTTAAGCACTGCAAAGCACATGATACTTCTATTAATGTTTCTAGAAATCTAAAACTGGTATACAATTGGATCTAAAAATCAATTCACTCTACTTTGTCATCATTAGGATATTAAAATACAGCGCAATCATCAGGTTTTGTTTTGGTAGTATATCGGGTACAGCTATTTCAAAAAGCCATAGAAGCAACCCCCAGGGTTTGTTCAACAAGGTAACAAAATACAACATTATATGAAATGAAGAATGTTTTGCACTTTTTCGTTAAGACACATATATAAATTTCTTTTTAAAGTAAATAAAAATTAACAATTAATATGGAAGTATATGTGTGCAAACAGTTTCTCTTTATAAGTAATTTAAAAATAGCGACTCTTTCCCTTTTTCTAATTCTTTCATTTCCTCTTGAAAACGCACTCGTATTTGTTTTGGAGTACATGTATCCCAACATCTATCATAACTCCTTGAATCAAATCTTTTAATGATTAAATTTTCATCTGACATACAACTGCTACTTTTGGTTTCTCGACATTTGCCTGAAAATTTGAATACATGTTTTATATAATTTAGAATGGCATGAAATGGGTTTGTTGTTAGGATCATTACGTTTGCTAAAATTGGGAACAAAGATTCATTACTTGAAATATGAAACAAGTTTTCTTATATGAAACCTTAACTTTATCTGAGCATGTAGCGGTTAAAACATGCATTTTTCTTTTAACAATCATGAATTAAATTGATACATTTTGATTTTGTTAAACTGAATCAAAGGTTGTACATTTTACGGGAATTAAATTTACCTTATAAAAAAAGGAGATGTGTTGTGATTGCCAATAAGATATATACTAGTCAACAAAAGAATCGATACACATTCTTAAACTCCAATTTATCATAAAATATAATAATTTAATTTTGGATGTAACGCGTCTTCTGATTGGCTGACGTTGTTTTGTTTATCAGCTCATAGACATAATTTTGTCATGTGATCGTGACGTCATCAACGTTTTTTCATGGTTTACTCAGGTTTAAAATGGAATTTAGAATTAAATTATCAGAAATGACTGTAATATTTTGTCTGTCTATTCGAAATAACATAAAAAATGTGGTGCACACTTTAAAATAATCCGCTACGCGGGTTATTCAGTGTGCACCACATTTTTGATGTTATTCCTTCACAGACAGAAAAAATATTACAGTCATTCCTTAAATAAATAGGAAAAACTGTTAAACTATCAAATGGAAAACATTCATTTTCAAAGCTAATGCAAATAATTATAGAATAACTAATCGAAGAATTCAAATAGAGAAAAATATTCAACGAGTGACCGAACAACACATTAATTCACGAATGCGCGTAGCGCATGAGTTAATTATCAGTGTTGTTCGGTCACGAGTTGAATATTTTTCGATATTTGAATTCTTTGATTAGTTATTCTTTTTATTACATTGGCAAATGGCTTTTTTAATGATATTAATGTAGAAAATGTAAGGAACTATATCTTTTTTCTACGCACTCACAATTTGTTTTGATCCGACGTTATCGACTCTTTACAACGCCTATTGTTGTATGACGTCAGAGAGTGAAATAACCACGTTTATTTCACATGTGAAATTATCGGTTTTTATTTAACTGGGAAATCAATGTAATTCATTGCTACCAATGTAATAATTAAAATAATCTGATCAAATTCGAAAGTGAGTAAATACCGTGTTATTGAACACAGGGGTCAAATTCATTTTGCGGAAAATGATGACAAAAGTCGGCACTTAATTTCAAAGATGAGAATTAAGCATTCAAATATCTGCAAAGGCATTAAAAATTCTAAGCAGACCATGTTAAGTTTAAAGTTTTAAATTCTAATATCGAATTTTGAATGTTTGGATGAAAATACGATTTTTGAAATAACAAAAATTGCAAAAAGGAAATTCGCATATTTGCCTTAAATCAATGGTTTTGATAAGAAAATAACACTCTGTAAATATTAGACCAATTGGGCAATTATTAACCTTGGTACAGTGTATCCAATTTCATTAACTATGGAAAATACATTGCCTTGTATCGTTTCTTTTGTTGACTAGTATATGTAAGCAATAATGTGAATAAATGAATATTAAATAAACTTTCTGTGTGAATATCTGGTTGGTCTATGTTTATTCTACAAACATGCGTGTCAAACATTTCATATTTTGCAATCTATTTTGTTCATTTTACTGAATTTACTTTCATGTTATGAATGTATGATCAACAAGAAAGAGTATTTTTAAACCAAAACTGCAATGTTGCATTCAAGAAATTCGATTCAACATTTAAATCTGAAAATCAGCAACAGTTTGAAATATTTGATTTAAGGGCCAATTTTGCTCCAAATCGTACCTTTTTAATTGGAAAGTTAGAAATGTAAATGTTATACTTAAAAACAACAGTTTTAACAATTAGTAAATATCCGTAAAACTAATATTTTACTCAGCAAACTACATTTTATTGAATACACTTTTCTTGGAACAATATTGTAAATTTGCTTTTTGTATTGGAATGACATCAATGACCAAATGAACTAATTTGACTGAAAGACAATTCATAGCTTGATAAAAGTTAGAATTGTGGCTTCTTTTTTTTTTTAAAATAACCTTATTCATTTTTTGAAAAGAAACCCAAAATTTGCCAAAGTTTTTCAAACAAGTAGTTCTCAGTCATCCTTAAGTATATTATGATTTGATTACATAATCATAGCCTCAAAGTGCACATGGAGTGCGATACTGCAAATCTATGAAAAGTGAAAGGACTTTTTATACAAGACACGAGTGTAAAATAAATTCAGGGAGAATATTCCTACGTCTTTTGTAATATTTTGGGTTTAGAAAAGAGATATTCACTAGTCCCTACTGCTTAATGCATTAACATGACCAACAACAGGAACTGCTGATCTTTCAGAGAGCATGAGTTTACACCGTGTTTTGTTCAGGGTCGTTACATTCACATACATCTGAAACAATTCACCAAATACTACAGAGAAAAATAAAGAATTTTAGTTTCTCAACAGTATTTTGCTGACTAATGTTTGTGATAAACGACAAACTATAAAAAGTACGAATGCTAAATTTTCGAATTCATTGTACCAACATTCTTTCCCTAACTTAGAAGTCATATTTGATTTTAACAGTGTTATTTTAGATTGACATTTATTTAGTTTAATTAGAATATAAGATTCGTGAAAATTTGCCTGTAGAAATGTAATTTTATGGCAAATTATATTGATGAAATAGGGAAAGGTACAGGAGTTGTTCTTGTTGCATTAAACAGCTTTGCTTTCAATTGATACCATGATGTATACGTTGACATTATATATCAGGAATAACAGTCTTTTTAAGAACATAATCAATTTAAATAATTCTAAATGTGTGAAGGAAATTGATTTTATAGCAAAAGTTGCATCTATGGTTATGATTATTAGACTATCATTTTAAAACGTCTTTTCGATAATCTAGAATATTTTACCAACCATTATCCTATCAATTTAAATAGTTCAGTACTTAAAGAACTCAAAAAAACATATAACGTAAATTGGCCTATACATTTTCAGTTTCATGTTGAATCATTTTCGTGATTGTCCTTACTAAATATTGATCCAGTTTTTTGTTCTTTATGTTAAGCAACCACCAATCACTCATCCTTCCTAATATACATATTTCATGTCTTTTTTTTTTTATATCTATCACATACTGTAAACCAACTTATTTTCGCGGATACTTTATTTCACGTTTATCCCTTTCTAGTCAACTTCGCGGCGATTTAATTTCGCGATTTCAATTTTCCTTGATGTAGTTAAATAAGGAAAGATCCAAGTTTTACATATTCGCGACGATTTATATTCGCGTTATTTTTCTACTCGCGAATGTCGCGAAAATAAATCGCTGGCGAAAACTAGTTGGTTTACAGTATCACATATTTAACATACCGAAATTACTTTGTCCACAACCTTCAACAAGTGTTCCTCGGATTAGATTTATAACTTTTGCAGAGCTTACTGGACCACAGCTTTTCTTTACTGAATTCCCAACATCTGAAACCGAATGAATAAAAAAATAAAGCATCGAAATATTGAAAGTATATAGTATACAAAATATCAGTTTAATGACATTACGGAACAAGTAGCACACCAATAAAGATGTTCACTGTCCCACCTTCCTACACGACACTAGCATGACTAGCATGCCTACCATCATACAAGAGTATCATACAAGATGATGTAATAAGCACTCATCCCTCACCTGAAAAAATAGAAAATATTCAAATTATAAGCAACAACAGTGGAGGTCATTTTTCGAACACTTAGTAAGATTGTATCCATGTTTGATCTACATACTATGGGAAAGTTTTTGGTAAGGTCATTTAAGGACAACGATAACCACGACATTAATTTCTTGTAGATGATGTCTTGCTGATCAACTTTGCTGCTAAAAATTTCTCTCTATTGCTTAAGTTTTCTAGATAATTTTCAAAACTCTAAAGTAAGTAAAAAAACCCTAGTCATTTAGGGATGGTAACTCAAATTAGAAGTACGGGGCCTCAGTGGCTGAGTGAACTAAGTAGTCAAACTACGGTATCACTAGCCTATCAACACTGAGGTTGTGAGGTCGAATCCCGCATGTGTCAGGTGCGCTCGACTTTAATCTTAATTGACTGGAATTGTTAGATTTCCTTCATGTTAACTGTCCTTCATACAACTTTGTCTTATTGTGACAAGTTCATGAACTCAAGCGGACCTCAACTATGCAATTAAAAGGAGAAACAAACAAAATCATGATCAAAAGAAAAAAAGGACAGAAGGAGAACCCTATACGCCTTAAGTTTTTCTTAAATGTACATGAAACTACATTGTTTCACACATCCTATTAACAAAAAAAATCCACAATTACGTACAATGAGCATATATGCGTGTTTGCACTTTTTATTGAGTAGGTAAATGACTTGGAACTTGATTAAAACAATAAATTTGAAATAAATAGCTTAATATATTTAACACTTCTGTACGACAGATTATATTCAAATTGTTAATTGTAATACTTCTAAAATCTCAGAGGTCACTCTATACGCTTCAATTTATGATAAACAGGTTAAAATAATATAAATATTTATATATATCTTCTAGATGCAGATATTAAAAGTTCATCATGCAACAACAACTCCAAAATAAAATGCATACCTTTTTTCATCTCCTTTTCCGTCCTTTTCAAATGAATTCCAACTAATCCAAGTAGATCCTTTCCAGTACTTTTAATTATGTGCACGATTCCAATTTGTTCTGAAATTATGCTGTTTGAGTTTTTGACAGCTGTTATGGTGTTGTTCAAAATAGCAGCAAAAATTGTCAACAAAGTAAAAAGTACAAAGAAAACATAAACAAAGAAAAACAGCTCTCCAAGAACAGGAACTGTTTGTTTAATTTCGTTGAATGCATTCTTTCCAATTAATGTATTGGTAAGACTTCCAAAGCTCACAAACAAATTTCGATACTCATATACAGAAACTCCAAAGAGCAGATAACCAAATATGACAAAGGCAGAAAATACTGTCATGAATGGAAAACTAAAACTTAATACATCAGTCAAACCGTATTTTAAAACGTAAGCGATTTCCATGATCTTTCTATTGTATGATAATGCACTTGAAATTCTTAAAGTAGAAATAAAGACCAACAATCCAAGAACTGCATTAAATATGTATTCCCAGACTACTATGTGTTGGAAATTTATGAACACTTTTTTGTTATCTGCATATAAAGCAAGTGCTTTCTTAGTAAAAATGAATTTTGCTATCCAAATTCCTAACTCTATCAAACTTAATAGCGCTATAAGAATATCCAAAATGTTCCAAAAATTCACACAAAATCTTAATTTTTCCTTTTTTATTCCTTTAATCAAAAAGATAATTTTTCCTATCACCATAACGAGAAAGATGACACTGAGAAATAGATTCACAAACCCAGTCGCACTTGTTATTAATGTTGGTCTGAAACATTGTGAGTCAGCCCAATTAAATGCCCCTCCTATCTCAGGAAATTCAGCCAAAAATGTCGAGTAACAGATAATGTTGATGTTTGCGTTATAAAGAGCAAACTCCACAAATACTGCTCTTGTATATCGATCAATCCATCGAAGTTTAAATAGTTCTTCGATCATGTTTTCCGTGTTTTTCTTGTTATTGCTGAGGCTATGGATGTATCCGCCACCACTATATGTATTATAAATGCCTACAATAGGAATGCCCCAAACTTCTTTAGCATTTGTATATTTCCACGCATCTGTTGTCCATGGAGTCGAACATTCCTTACATAAATCACTAGTTTCCTCTGATTCGTGGTCATATTTCTTAGCACAAAAATGACCAGGGACAAACTTTGATGCGTAACACTGTGCTGAAAAAGATATAATATTTTGTTTTAAAACAATGGGAACAAGATCATGACTCGTTAGTTTGCAGCATATTATTTACGGCACTTTATTCTTTGCTTGCAATACTTATAATGTTATGTACTTTTCTTATTTCAATCAATAGTGATTCATTACAATACTTAGTAATGTTTAATGATATTACCAACACAAAATTAAATTTGATTTGATTTTGTAGACAGCATTTGAGAATATTTTATACATAAAATGGGATAATAATTTGTTTGCGTTTAACCTTTTAACTTTCAAAACAAATATGAATTCTTCCGCCTCCCGAAACTATTAAACAAAATGATTTTTAAATCCCATGAAACTATTATATTTGTTAATTTGCCTGAATGTCTATGACAGCTTAGATAATAAAGGAATTGGACGTGGACCTTATCTTTAGATAAAGTGCATGGCAATGGAGGGACAGTACAACAGATAAAAATCGCAATAAAATTGAGAATGGAAAAGAGGAATGTGTCAAAGAGACAAAGAGCAGAAATAAGCCCAAGGTCACTAGTGGGTCTTCAACACATTGAAAAAATCTCGCAACCGGAGGCGGGCTTCAGCTGGCCCCTTAACAATGTATGTATACTGTTATAGTTTTAGAAAACGGTACTGTCCTATTGTTTATTGCAGCACAATTGGCACTGTTTAAACTATTTAACAATAGAATCATAGTAATACAGGAAGTCGCTTAACCCTTGCTGCTGGCCTGTTTCATAGACAATGATTGTGATGCTTGCCTTTCATGAAGATATAACTGTTCGCGTTTATTTTTTCATCGTTGACAAAATATCTAGCTGTTGTCTTGTATTATGCTGATTCTGCTTTCGACAAGATGTGAACAGGCCTATAATTTACTATATGTTCTTACTCTATGTATCTAATCAATCTTTAGGCTCTAAAAAGAGCGATTGTCTTACCTTTTTTCACTTTGACCTGTCGTAGCCGAACTAGACCTAGTCGAAGGTTAGCCATATCACCTACAAAGAACTTGTCGACACTACTAATGCCTCCCCCGTTGTATGATGCTGTAGGAAAGTACAAAGGTATTAACGTCTTTCTAGTCCATTCCAAGAATGCTTCAGGTGACGTGACCTATATTGAAGAATGGTTCCTGATAAATTTGTATTTGATTATCAATTCAAAAAATCAAATTTGCTTTAGTGTGGTTAAAAAGATCTAATTCAAAGGAACGTGTTTTCTTTTAATACTGTTAACAATTCTAAGTAGTCGCCAGAAAGCATTATTTAACTGGACTCCGGTATTTCCTATTTCCATTGTAGATTAAACCAAATACTTACATATGTTTGTAATGGAATAAATGAGTGTGTTTTACATACCTTGGTCCAACTATGTTAATAATCGCATAAGTAGCCTTTAAACAAGTAATTTATTTGATTTTGCTCTTTGTGTAAATTGTGAAATTTATTCATATTAAATCTTGAAATGTTCGTTCATACTGATTTCTGTTGATTGGTTGATATTTTACTTTTTCTTTTTATAACTATTTGACTTCAAAATGAGATATATCACATATTGATACTTTTTGTCTATCAAGTTGTAATACATGGCTTTCAGCAGTTTCTGTAAATAATATATTTGGAGTGGTAATTTATATCATTACATATTATTACAAGTTATTACACACGGCACATCGTACAAAAACAAAAGAAATGTATTAAAAGAAATATTTACCATCGAGAACCCGTACTGATATTTGCTGGATTTATACAACTGGCTTTCAATATGTGCTTTATATAAGTATCCTCTTTGGTCTTTGTTTAAATAACTAATACAAAACAAAACAGTTGCAAAACCCATATGAAGTATCAAGTTCACAAACGCACGTTTCGCCATTTTCTCTTTCAACAGTAGTTTTCTTTGTTTTTTCATCACACGTTCAGTTGGTGGTCCATCTTTTGCCATGACCGCGACTTTCAATTCTAGAACAATACAAAACAACTGAAGAGCAAGCAATTAACTTTACAACAACTACACCCTATGTTAAGAAATGAACAAATCATCAAACGATTATCTAAATACACTCCATTAAAACCTTAAAACTTTCCAAACTTGTGATTAAAAAAGTGTGTCGAGAGTTAATCATTTCATGAAAGATTCACACTTACCATGTTGTGTGTATGAGAATCCGGTGTGATATCTTTTATCAAATTTATAGAATCCTTTTTTTTTCAAACATAGGTATCACGAGTAAACATAGTAGTAAGCTAAAGTTGTTCACATCCGTGTCTTTTTTGTCATTGGTGGACATTTGTCTCATTGACAACGTATCCCCCGAACAAACAGATTGGTATTGGAGTTTGTATTGTGAACTTGTTGGAATCAACTACTCCATATGTATATCATGTGTTTCCCTACTGTTTTTATATTCGATAGAGAAGACATTTTCCTTTTTTCATTAACCAAAAACCATCGATTAAACAAACAAGGGAAATACAAATGCATTATATAATGTCGGTCTAAAACAAGTGAAACTGCGAGCTATTGCTCACTGATGATACCCCCACCGCAAGTGGGTAATTTTAATAGTGTAAAAATATGTAAGTGTTCGGTAAACAGGAAGTTGTTGAGTGATGAATCTGAAAACGCATCACATGGTATAGCTGAATAATATAAACCCTGAAACCAAATTTCAGAAATCCTTGTGATGTAGTTCCTGAGAAAAATCCGACGATAAATATTCATGGGACGGACGGACGGATGAATGGACGGAAGGACGGACGGACGGACAGACAGAGGTGAAACAGTATTCCCCCACTTTTTTTGAAGCGGAGGTATAATAACCGACACAAGAATTGCTGAGCTTTATAATTCAATTTATGCATTGACAAATACCATTATGTAACATACGAATTAAATTATAATTACATGTATCTAAAAAAAGATAACTTAAATACTTACCTGTAAACTCATCACCGTGGCACAACTGATGCTTTTTCGCCATCTTCTTAACGCAGTCTAAATCGAGATTGATGATCTCGTCATCAGCAGGTTTTCTCGTGATCAATGCAATTAGAATAGCAAAAGCAAAAACCTTTGAATTAAATATAGAGATACAATTAAAAATAACATATGGTATCAAGAAAACTTTAGAGAATTGGTTCCAATCTTGTAAGAGTAACATGTTCATAGATTTGCCTCTAATTTCCTTCCAGTTTCATAACAAAACTTTGGGAAACGGAATTCCTAAACCATTGCAGCCCTGATTCAATAACTGAATACCTTGGCAGTCGATCTTATTTTAAAAACGAAAAATTGCACGTTGTCTTTAATGATTTTCAGGAATTTTTATTTCACGTACGAGCAAGTAATTGAATATCTCATATTAAATGCCTGTACCACGTCAGGAATATGACAGTTGTTTTCCTTCGTTTGGTGTGTTTGAGCTTTTGATTTTGCTATTTTATAAGGGACTTTCCGTTTTGAATTTTCCAAGGAGTTCGGTAATTTTTTTTATTGTTTTTTACTTTTTATACATCTTCATCTATCATATCATCTTTATAATGTTAATAAAAGTATAACTTTGAGCTCGTTCTATCAATATGTATGTTTTATTTAAAAAAAAATGGTAAAATAAAACTACATGTCTACAAAAATGAAATATCATCATCGATTGAGTACATCTTCACAATCCAAGCTATTCATTACCAGTTGATTATGTGTCAATTGATTTCATCATTTAATCTCATCCAGAAAAAAATAGTTTGTACCAAAAAAATCCAAAAAAACAAATCTATTCATTACAGAAGTTTAAGTGTAAATTTAGTATAAACTAAAATGTGTATTTTTTAAACATTTTATTCAAATGATGGCTTGAACAAAACATATTTAGATATCAAATCTGCATTTGTTTACATATTTAAAAAAATATATATACCTCAGTGTTTCCTCCTACACCCTTTTCCTATGAACATCTTCGTCATACAACTTAAAATACAACTGTTTAACAACAAATTTCTCCAAATATCAATTGAAATTTGTACCCAAAAACAAAATCTTTTGATAAAGGTTTAAACGAATATAAAGACCTATCGTTTAAGACATCCAGCTTTTGTTTAGAAAAAACCCAACATTTTATTTCAATACTAACTGTGTTTTTCCGAGAAAAGCACTAGATTAAAACATTAGTTTATATGAAAATGAAGAGAAAAACGTACCTGACCTCAAAAGATGCATATGCACATTTCCTTTTTATTTATACCATTATATGCATCATATGAGTTAATAATGTACATTGTGCATGAGTTATGTATAACGGTATATGAATATGATTATGTACTCGAATTTGAAAGCACATTAAAGCTATTATCTGTTTCTTGTTTTTTAATACCGAGTTTGATACTCTAAAGTCTTCAATTAAATTGATGTATATGCGTATGTTTTACCATTGGAATTTAAACAAATCAGATTATTCATATCTGGAACAAACTCACTATTCTAACTTAGTTCATGTTTTAATACAGCACGATTCTTTATTTCATTTTGAAACAACAACGAATAAACTTACAATATGGAACCTACAAATATTTCATTTTCTTCAATTGATTTTTACCTAAATAATTGGCCTTTTCAGAATCCTAAGGATTATGAGTAAAAGTCAAAAACAAACTGACAACGCCATGACAAAAAACGGAAAACGATGAAAAGTGTTCAGTACTCGTTTTAAAATGTACAATTAAAAATCATTTAAAATACCACGCCAACAATTTGGTACGCCCAAGACTCATAAGTGACGCTCAATTCAAAACAGTTAAAAGGTCAAATAAAGTATGTAGTTGAAGAGCACTGAAACCCAAATACCTTAATTACGGATAAGGTAATCAATGCCTTTTGAGTTTAGAAAAGCCTTAGCTTTTCTTTTTATTAATTTGACATGCCATCAACAATTTATGTTCAGAAAATGAACCTTTCAATGATATTTAATATTAGGACAAAAGAATTAAAGAAATTATCGTAACTGGCATGCAATATTAAATACTCTTCGCTGTACCACACTAAACATACCTTTAATGGATCAACTATCATAAACGATTCAACAAAAGACATAATAAACGTAGTAAGCCATTCTTCAGCTTTATCCTTTCCCCACTGCATGCTGAACAGAAGAAGGAAAAACCCGGATGTAAGAACACCTAATACAAGTATACCCCATGCAAAATAAATAGCATAATGTGGAAATTTTTTCTTTTCAGTCACGGTCATGACAATCTCATCATTATCTTTAATTGTACTGGTACTGTTCCTATTCTTTTGCGGAGTTTTACTACTAACATTACGGAAGATAAAAGTTACTAAAACTGCTGGTGGTACGGTGATGATACATCCAATAAACGACACATATACAGTCGTTAATGACAGTCGCAAGCCACCAATCTGTACAGTATCTGGAGTGACTGCATCGTCCGCGCTTGATTTGAAAAACATGGCATTCGATATCATTGTCAGGAACAACGCCATTAAAATAACTGAAAGTCGTTGTACGCGAGTAAAAGCGTTTTTCTGCGGCCGAAGGACTAACGATAACCATAGATGATTTTCTGTCAGGTTTATACGTGACTGCTGAGAGAAAGAAGTCTCAAAATCACATTGTTTGTTATCTATTACTGGTAATAATCTATCAATCATACCATCGCCCATGTCCAATGCTAACCATTTGTCACAATGAAAACCAAACCTATAAAAGTATACAAAAATCAACCTAAGAATATTTAGAAAGCAATCTACTAAATATATAGAAATCATCATGAATTAGATTTAACCGTAGTTTGACGATGTTCAAATCTTGATTAAGCCATGCAAAACACACAAGACACAAAACAAAACCCGGGGAATAGCATGAACCGCTAACGAAGCCAGACAAGGTACGCTTCTATTGCTATGCAGGCTTCATCATAAACACGAATCCTGGGGAAATGAACACAGAAATGTTAAATAAGCCACATTTTGAGTGCAACTAATATTCTGCTTTTTTCAGTTTCATGATGAATGTGTGGTTAACATTTTTTACATAATATTATGTTCTATAGTTTTTTTTTAAAATCATACGTGTTAAGTTAAACTGATCATTTTTGAGAGACAAATTTTTGCTTAATTTATAAACAGGCATGCTATTATCAGTTGCATAATGAAAATAACACTGCGTCCAAAGCGTTTTTCTGGATTTACCACCACCAGGAACGCCCAAACCTACACGTCTGATATCCAACGATGCATGAAACCTAAACACACGAAGAGCTACACGACTAGAGGGAGATAAAGAAATGGCCAAATTTATCTAAGATCAAATTTGCCTGAGGGAGTTATACAATCTTATACAATAGGTTTAATTCATATCATTTCTACTACCAGAAAACTCTTGTAATATATGCATATTCCTAACGTTATTTAAATGTTTTATAGGCAAACTTGATACATGTATCTTAGAACTGACCCGCTTTGACGTTTCTCAAGCATGAGTCTGTATTGCTCCGTACCTTGATTGATCCCATCTACATAAATGATGCACAAATAACGCAAAGTAACGTATTTTTAAGACCAAATATTTTGACGGAAAGATAACGGGAGGAAACAAGCCGATGTCAGTCGTATGTCTTCATACATAATTATCCCCCCCCCCCCCCCCAAAAAAAATGTCTGCATTGAAATTATGTACCTATTGTATTCTATGCACTAGGGATATCACAGCTGCTGGTCTTCCTATACTAATTATGATATTGCTGTTCGTAATCGACTTCAATAAACAGCAACCAAATGAAAGTAACACATTCTAAATTATGTTGGTCAAGCGCTCGTCCTTTTTGTTTGTTTACCTTCATCAGGAGCACAAGAACCCAAAGTATAAGGGTCAAAGATGAATAAATATGTTAGTACTTGATGAGCCATATTATAATTTAAATAACATAAACAGAATGGCCAAAACCTTTAAGATTAACTTTGTCTGAGCAATATACGTGCACGAAATCATATAAGCAAGTCAAGTACTTGTTACGTGCTTTCGGTAACTGCAAGAACTTTTGATAAGGTATAGATAAAAGGAAATTAGTTTTTTGCCTTATCTTAATGTGTTTTTGTCATTTATGGAATTAATAGTAGATTTTTAAAAGGAGTAGGCCCAGTAAGACCCCTTTTTGGCCCCAAAATATAGCAGTTTTACAAAATTGTTAAAATATAAATTTTTAGCTATTTATTGGAAAGAAGAATACTTCTGTTACATAAATATGGGCTGTTTTTGACAATACAATGCACATGTATCGGGTACTAGCATCATTAAGTCATGCTAAATTACTGAAATCTTCAAAATTTTAGCATTTTGGTTAATTTTTAGACGGTTTCCGTCTGAAATGGAAGTGGCCGCATTTGTGTTCATTCTTAATATTTAAATGTAAGTTGTATTTGATGATAACACATAACATATATAAAGGTTGAGAATGAACACGGATGCGGCCATTTTCATTGTTGACCAAAAACCATCTGAAAAGTGAAATATTATGGCATATTTGATAGATTTTTCATATTTAAGCTTGAATTTGAGCGTCTTTAATGACTAAATCAGTTCAAATATTTCACATAAACTCATTGAATCGACACTTAAGTGTTTAAAAAGTGTCCAAAATCTTTCATCAGACGAACTTGAATTTTGAGGCCAAAATCGGCCCTTACCCTACCTACTCCTTTCTTATTAATTTTTTTTAAAATGTTGTTTTGACCGTTGTCTTTGACCAAAAACGTTGTTTTGCTGTTGCGTGGACGTTTACAGTACATTTCCTCTAATTCATAAAACAGGATCTTTAGAAATAACCAGTGGTAAGTCAACTGTAGAAATATTATTGTTCTCACCTTTGATTAGTTTGGACATCTGTTATAATAATCTTATGTAGAAACCATGAATTAGTGTTGCCTTCTCCAGTATTGTCATGCCAAACCCGTAAATGTGACAAATCACCTAAATACTTGGATGTAGACATCACAAAATAAACCACACTGCTGGTCTGGAACCCCTGTAATTTTTATATATATTCATAACATATCAAAAAGGTTTCGTTAACAAAAACGCATGGACACTGTAGTTCCTTTTTTCAATTTGTCAATTCTTTCTTTTTTTTTGTCTTAGATTCTCAGAAATCAAATAAAGGAGAAGATATGATTAAGCCACTTAATAATCCTTGAATTCGACAATTAATATGTATCAGTTAACTCTCATTGTCTCGATGTCGGTTGACTAGAAATTTTGTATGAGTCAAAATTGTACCGTAGTCCTGAATTTTGTTCCATATAAATATATCTATTTCGACTACTAATCAGTCAAATTGGATGATCCAAAATGTTTGTTGTCTGGAAACCAATTTGCGGTCTAAAAGTTAACATGAAGTAAAAAAACAAAAATATCGAACTCCAGAGAAAATACAAAACAAAAAGTCTCTAAACAAATGGCAAAATCAAAATCTCAAATATATCAAACAAATTGAAAACAACTGTCATATTCCTGACCTGGTCATGCATTTCCACATGTAGAAAATGGTGAATTAAACCTGGTTTTATAGCTAGCTAAACATCTCACTTGTATGACAGTCGAAGTCAAGCATTTTAATTGCATTAGATCGAACCAATACACATGTGTCAAAACTTGACCTCGGGAATTTAAATGGATTGAAGAGTTTGTCTGACAGTACACATGTAATTAAATTTCCGGTCATTGAGCACTGTGATGATTTATGACATCATAATAAATTATGGTCAGTACGTGAATCAAAGTTACATATGCGTAGAGTGTTGCATGTACAAGGATTCAAAGAATGTATGTTTTATTTACTTGAAAATGAATCTTTTACGAATTTGATTAAAGACTTATCTAAGTCGACAATTTCCATGTTTTCTGAACAAACTGCACTCTGACATCCTACGGTCTAAACAAGTCATAGAAAGGGCCGTCAGACGTCAGAGCAATCCCGGACTAACATAATTGCCAGCCTGGCCGTAGAATCAGTTGCGAGCAAGATGAACAAATGTTATGTAATAATGGTAACCCAACGGTTCTCATGTGAGAATGAAAAAGTTTAAATGACAAGGTACATTACAGAAAAATAAGACGGTTTTTTAAGTGGAATTTAAAATCATAAGTGAAAGGGATGACAAATTTACGGTCGAAAGAAAACAATACTAGAAATCAAACGGCGAACAACAGTCAACACAAAACATTTAAAAATAAACTTAAGACAACGACTTAGCAACAAGGACCCTCGTGTCATCACAGGTATTTCTTAAGGTTAAATCAGTCTTGCTTTATTAGTTGAACCCCGTAGTGTCGCCTTTGTTGATACGTTATAAAAGTAGATAAAAGAATTTGGACAATGATAACTGACCATATCATTAATCATCTGTGACAAATACGTTCACCTTTGTTGGTTTGTTAATACAAAATAGGAAACACAAGTTATTGAATATCTACAATAACTGGGTAACATATATGTTCCTTGTAAAGTTGCTGCCTCCCAATTGATGCATTACAACGGAATGTTCAACATGTGAACATTAAAAGACATCTATTTTGTAACAACTTTTAGTTCTTTGATTGTTATCTTTTGAACGAGCACGTTAAAAATATGGTTTAGCATGTCGGTCTAGTAAAAAAGCAGCGTTTATATTCATATCACATTCACATGTTCTCGTCACCAATATGTATTTGACTTGCCACTAGAGATTAAACAAACATCCCTCACCAAAACCCATGTCTGCGTAAATTAGTTAGCAAAGGGTAATTTTCGTGTCATGCTTCTTAATGATAGCAGGCTACCTATTTTAGGTGATATAAGGTATGCATATGCTAGAATGTGTTGAGTAGATTTAAGATGACAGTATATATAACATTCTTCTAGCTGCCAAGTGGCAAGGACTTGATAGAATAAATTTTGAAATTATAAGAAACTAAGGTTTCAACTCCCTCAGGCAAAGTAGACTTTAGATAAATTTGGTTATTTTTCTGGATCCTGCTTGGTCATATAGTTCTTTAACTGTTTAGGTCATTAGACATTCTTGGCTTTCAAATATTCGGCTTTGAGCGTCCCTGATGACGGTAAAGTTTAAAAGCGCTTCGGACGCATGAAATTTATAACGTGTTGTTTCCATTTTTTATAGATACTAAGGAACAACACAACTGTGCATATACTGATTTTGTGTCATGGATGGATACTCAATATTCATTCTGTTTTATTACAAGAATATTAGACAGCAAAACAAACCACGCTAACCAATAACAACCGACTCCTAGCATTATGTCTGATTTGTGGTCTATATTCATTGATCAAAGAATAAACTTATTATGAATGTTATCAAATTCACACATTTGGAAGAACTTGTTGTTTTAAGGGTACAATGTTATTTTTGATAGATAAAAACTTAACTTACTATATATTGCATTACAGTTATGAAAACTTAGGGTCTTACATCTTGTGTTAATTATTTACGTATATTTTGGCATTGCATAAGGTCATGCTTTTTCTCAGATTGTTTATTACGTCTGTACGCCTGAAAAAGCGTTCCATTTCACTAGAACATAAATTATTGATTTTTACCTAGGTTTGTTACAGCGGTCAAAATAGGATAGGTCTAAATATTGCCAAGATTGAAATATAAGAACAAGATTTTTAATAAGTCTTTGAACTAAGCTAAGTGAGAATCAATACCTAGCTATATAGATGGCTTTAATATTTTGAAATGGTGGTGCATGTATTAGATACCCGAAACGGACCTGAGCTATTCTCAGACGATGTTCGATTTATGATATTGGTTTGCTGAAACAAAACGTTTGTCATGAAATTAATTTTGTGGAAGTTGTTAGTAAGCGGGCTATACAGGTTGCGCTTGATTTGGACACATGTTGCCGGAGTACAATTTAGCACACCATTATTTTAATAATTTCAGTTCATTCAGTTGTTTTTTTTAATTCCTAAGTTTATTTATCTATTTTAATTTTGTTTGAATCTATTTTATTTGAATGATTTGATTTGCATTTTGAATTTTAGTATAATTTTCAGTTGTTCATAAATGAACATTTTTTTTCTTAAACATCGTTAAAGTTTGAAATATATTTCTTCTAAAAGTCACAAAATTTCTCACAAAAAGGTTTTAAGAGAGCAAGGTTTTTTTCTTCCAAATTTTATTGTCATTTTAATATACTACCTGCTGTTCCCTGCTTGTAAGTAATCTGCAACCAGTACTAAAAACATCTCCAGCTAAAATGAAATAGACGTTTGAATTGGTTCCCGATCCAGGTCGAAGTCCGGTATGTACAGCTATCATATAATAGTAGTCATTTGACGATTGATTGTCCAATAAGTATAAAGGAGTACTCTGTAGAAAATATATATTGAAAATTATTATAATTTTGTCATAAAATCTACACTTTAGTTCAATCTAAGAAATTAGGCTGATCATTTTAGGTATGAATATTGTGTTTATCTGTCAAACATAATTTTTCCAAACTTCCTTCCTCAGACGATTTCGTCATAGAAGCTTGATTTTACCACCCAAATACCTGAATATTTAAAAATATCAACATATCTTACAAATATATGTAGAGACGAACAACATCTAAAGATTTTTCGGGATATCATTATGTTATTACATGTCATAGCAAATCTGAATTCTATTTCTCTCGAAGAGAAATTAAATGGATAAGGCTTGCGATTTATAATCACATTAAAGTAGAGCAAAATCATGATCTTAGTTCACGGTTAGTATATAAGTTAAATTATAATTTATAAAAAAACAGATTAATTATAATTTAAATATTTTCCAATTTGTCTATAACAAGTACTACACACAGTAAATGTGTGCCAGGTGAAAATAATAAAGTATAACTAGAACAATATCATCACTTATATTGTATCTAAAACAGTTCAAATTAGATCACGACTAATGCCAAATGTGGACGAGGATTTGATTACCCTTCCGGAGCACCTGAGATTACCCCTGGTTTTGGTGGGGGTTTGTTGCTCAGTCTTTAGTTTTCTATGTTGTATTTTGTATACTTTTTTTTGGCATTTTGGTCTGTTCTTTTTTTGCCATGAAGCTGTCACTTTATTTTCGACTTATGATATTGAATGTCCCTTTGGTATCTTTCTCCTCTCTTGTTATTTGTCTTATCTTTTCCTGTACAGTATATTTGATGGGGCTTCACATTTGTTACACACACAAACAAAAACAATCTTTGAAATATTTATATCCTCACCCGTACAGCATCTTTCCTGTCATATCTTCTCAGAATAAGGACAAATATGACATAGATCACAATTAAGGCAACCAAGGTACCATACACAGCAGCATTAGCAGGATCAAACTTTGACCACACAGTATTAAGGTCTATCATGTTTGGAGAAGCAAATGAAAGCGAAAAGATAGAACCAACCGCTGGTTCACATTGACATACAGTTTCGTTTAGCGTTGAAAATTGAAGCACCTAAAATTAAATCGATAAAGGTGAAATTTATAATTTTTGACAGACTTAAAGATAATAATGTTTTTTTTATTTAAATACTGATTGTATTATTACAAATGTTGAACTTGAAGGTAAACCAACACCAATATTAGTAATGTATTTGTCGGACATAGCGTTTCAAACACACTTATTAACATCACCAAAAAGCGGAATTAGCTTTGTTCCGGACCTCGCTTTTTACACGATTTGCATACATATCCTTAGTACATATACAACATTTGATATTCTCTCCAGAAAAAGAAATTGATGTGATGTAAAAATGCAGTCATGAATATCCTTCTAGGTAAGGTCTTCATATGTCATTTTTCACAAGTTTACACACAATTTTGCTTTGGATATTAACAATAAAATATGCATATCTAGAACCCAACTAATTATTGTTACTTTATGAAAGATAAATTATTTCATGGTTTACAAATATGTCGGAATACGTATAAACAAATTTGGAAACATACTATGAAGTAGGGAAAGAAATATATTATTCATATTTTTTTTAACAATAACATATCATTCATCCCCGAGAAGTGATTCGGCACTCATTTTAATATACCTCATCTAACGAAAAACGTTTTACCTTCAAGAAAGATAACAGAAAAATTGATTGTTATTCCAAAAATACACAACCATTTACATTCATAATCAAATATCTATTTTCAAAAATTTTCATTCTATTACTGCTGACGAGAAACTACTGATAAAATAACTTACAAAAAAAAACCCCGATAAAATATTAGATATTCAATTGACTTTTTTCATTGACATTACAAAGCCGACATGTGTAGATATTGTTGTAAGAAAGAAGGTCCGAATGAATTAAGGCTGTGATGTCGTTAATACAAATCAGAATTAAGAAACTGAATAGGTCTATTAATACCCAATGCTACATCAATCTTTAAAGACCCAAATGTTGCTAAACACTTGTCCTACCTCCATGACAAATATGTTGTTGTCCCCGCAGATAGAGCCCCAAACAACATCGTTTTTGTGTGTAAATCACATTACATAAACTGCTTGATAAATGAATTAGGTATTGACAATTCACTTGGAAACTCAACATTTACCCCTACGACACTTACTAACTAGAGGCTCTCAAGAGCCTGTGTCGCTCACCTGATTCTACTTCGGTTTTGGAAATCATGTAAAAATAGATTAAAATCATAACAGATACCCTAATAATGAGTGAGGCCAAATTTGGTTTAATATTGGTCCTGTAATTTGTTAAAAAATCCTGGTGGCCATCTTGAACAGTAAAGTAGCAACACTTCATCAGCACCTCATAAGAAACATTAATGCCATGTTTTGGTTTCATTCCATTCAGTGCACCTCTAGAAGAAGCATTTGTATGTATTTCCCATAGGGTCCTATGTTAAACTAAGTCCCCTGCTGGCGGCCATCTTGGATGATGGATCGGCTACAAAGTAACAACATTTGGTCAGCACCTCATAAAGAACATTCATGCCATATTTGGTTTGATTCCATACTGTGGTTCTCTAAAAGAAGACATTTGTATGTATTTCCCATAGGGTCCTATGTTATACTAAGTCCCCTGCTGGCGCCCATCTTGGATGGTGGATCGGCACCAAAGTAACAACACTTGGTAAGCATCTCATAAAGAACATTCATGCCATATTTGATTTCATTCCATTCAGTGGTTCTCTAATAGAAGACATTTGTATGTATTTCCCTTAGGTTCCTATGTTAAACTAAGTCCCTCGCTGGTGGCCATTTTGGATGATGGATCGGCTACAAAGTAATAACACTTGGTCAGCACCTCCTAATGAACATTCATGCTATGTTTTGTTTCATTCCATTCAGTGGTTCTCTAAAAGAAGTCATTTGTATGCATTTCCCATAGGGTCCTATGTTAAACTAAGTCCCTCACTGGCGGCCATTTTGGATGATGGAACAGCTACAAAGTAACAACACTTGGTCAGCACCTTGTAAGGAACATTTATGCTATGTTTTGTTACATTCCATTCAGTGGTTCTCTAAAAGAAGTCATTTGTATGCATTTCCCATAGGGTCCTATGTTAAATTAAGTCCCCTGCTGGCGGTCATCTTGGATGATGGATCGGCTACAAAGTAACAACATTTGGTCAGCACCTCATAAAGAACATTCATGCCATATTTGGTTTGGTTCCATACTGTGGTTCTCTAAAAGAAGACATTTGTATGTATTTCCCATAGGGTCCTATGTTATACTAAGTCCCCTGCTGGCGCCCATCTTGGATGGTGGATCGGCACCAAAGTAACAACACTTGGTAAGCATCTCATAAAGAACATTCATGCCATATTTGATTTCATTCCATTCAGTGGTTCTCTAATAGAAGACATTTGTATGTATTTCCCTTAGGTTCCTATGTTAAACTAAGTCCCTCGCTGGTGGCCATTTTGGGTGATGGATCGGCTACAAAGTAATAACACTTGGTCAGCACCTCCTAATGAACATTCATGCTATGTTTTGTTTCATTCCATTCAGTGGTTCTCTAAAAGAAGTCATTTGTATGCATTTCCCATAGGGTCCTATGTTAAACTAAGTCCCTCACTGGCGGCCATTTTGGATGATGGAACAGCTACAAAGTAACAACACTTGGTCAGCACCGTGTAAGGAACATTTATGCTATGTTTTGTTACATTCCATTCAGTGGTTCTCTAAAAGAAGTCATTTGTATGCATTTCCCATAGGGTCCTATGTTAAACTAAGTCCCCTGCTGGCGGTCATCTTGGATGATGGATCGGCTACAAAGTAACAACATTTGGTCAGCACCTCATAAATAACATTCATGCCATATTTGGTTTGATTCCATACTGTGGTTCTCTAAAAGAAGACATTTGTATGTATTTCCCATAGGGTCCTATGTTATACTAAGTCCCCTGCTGGCGCCCATCTTGGATGGTGGATCGGCACCAAAGTAACAACACTTGGTAAGCATCTCATAAAGAACATTCATGCCATATTTGATTTCATTCCATTCAGTGGTTTTCTAAAAGAAGACATTTGTATGCATTTCCCTTAGGTTCCTATGTTAAACTAAGTTCCTCGCTGTAGGCCATTTTGGATGATGGATCGGCTACAAAATAACAACACTTGGTCAGCATCTCCTAATGAACATTCATGCTATGTTTTGTTTCATTCCAATCAGTGGTTCTCTAAAAGAAGTCATTTGTATGCATTTCCCATAGGGTCCTATGTTAAACTAAGTCCCTCACTGGCGGCCATCTTGGATGATGGAACAGCTACAAAGTAACAACACTTGGTCAACACCTTGTAAGGAACATTCATGCTATGTTTTGTTTCATTCCATTCAGATGTTCTCTAAAAGAAGTCATTTGTATGCATTTCCCATAGGGTCCTATGTTAAACTAAGTCCCCCGCTGGCGGCCGTCTTGGATGATGGAACAGCTACAAAGTAACAACAACACTTGGTCAGCACCTCCTAATGAACATTCATGCTATGTTTGGTTTCATTCCATTCAGTGGTTCTCTAAAAGAAGTCATTTGTATGCATTTCCCATAGGGTCCTATGTTAAACTAAGTCCCTCACTGGCGGCCATTTTGGATGATGGAACAGCTACAAAGTAACAACACTTGGTCAACACCTTGTAAGGAACATTCATGCTATGTTTTGTTTCATTCCATTCAGTGGTTCTCTAAAAGAAGTCATTTGTATGCATTTCCCATAGGGTCCTATGTTAAACTAAGTCCCCCGCTGGCGGCCATCTTGGATGATGGATCGGCTACAAAGTAACAACACTTGGTCAGCACCTCCTAATGAACATTCATGCTATGTTTTGTTTCATTCCATTCAGTGGTTCTCTAAGAGAAGTCATTTGTATGCATTTCCCATAGGGTCCTATGTTAAACTAAGTCCCTCACTGGCGGCCATTTTGGATGATGGAACAGCTACAAAGTAACAACACTTGGTCAGCACCTTGTAAGGAACATTCATGCTATGTTTTGTTACATTCCATTCAGTGGTTCTCTAAAAGAAGTCATTTGTATGCATTTCCCATAGGGTCCTATGTTAAACTAAGTCCCCCACTGGCGGCCATCTTGGATGATGGATCGGCTACAAAGTAACAACACTTGGTCAGCACCTCATAAGGAACATTCATGCCATGTTTGGTTTCATTCCATTCAGTGGTTCTCTAGAAGAAGTTCAAAATGTAAAAAGTTAACGCCGACGACGGACGACGCCGGACGACGCCGGACGACGACGGACGACGGACGCCAAGTGATGAGAAAAGCTCACTTGGCCCTTCGGGCCAGGTGAGCTAAAAAGGAAATCCTGGATAATCATAGGTTTGTTCTATGTTCCTCTGGAATTTCAACCAAAGATGAAGAACTGGATCTTCCATCACTGTATTGGATACCTAAACTACATAAGTGTCCTTACAAACAACGGCATATTGCTGGGTCTTCCAAGTGCTCCACGAAACCTCTTTCTAAATTAACAACATCAATTTTATCAGCAATCAAAGCCGGGCGTCAAAGTTATTGTGAAACAAGTTATTCTAGAGGTGGCGTGAATCGGATGTGGATACAAAAAAATTCCAAAGATCTTTTAGAGTACATACAATCTAAGACTCTTTCATCTTGCAATAGTATTAAAACATTTGACTTTTCTACATTTTACACAAGTATTCCCCATTCCAAACTAAAAGACAAATTGTAAGAGTTGGTCCTGCTTTGTTTCATAAAAAAGAATGGCCAACGTAGATACAACTATCTTGTCTTAGGGAGGGATAAATCCTACTTTGTAAAAAATCACTCTGATTCTAACAAAAATTTCTCTGATACTGACACTATCACGATGCTTGATTTCTTGATTGACAACATATTTGTTACGTTTGGGGACATGTTTTTCAACAAACAATCGAAATTCCCATGGGAACCAACTGTGCCCCTCTTCTTGACGACTTGTTCGTTTATTCATATGAGGCTGACTTCATATAGGAACTTCTTAGGAAGAAAGAAAAAAAGTTAGCAGTATCCTTTAAACTTTACTTTCCGCTTCATCGATGATGTTCTCTCACTAAATAATTCAAAATTTGGTGACTTTTTTGAACGCATCTATCCCATTGAACTTGAGATAAAGGATACAACAGAAACAGTTAATTCTGCCTCATATCTTGACTTACATCTAGAAATTGACAATGAGGGTCGGTTGACAACTTTATGACAAAAGAGATGATTTCAGCTACCCAATTGTGAACTTTCCATTTTTATGTAGCAACATTCCAGCAGCGCCTGCATACGGAGTATATATCTCCCAATTGATACGATACTCCAGGGCTTGTATTTCCTATCATGATTTCCTTGATAGAGGGTTGCTGCTCACAAGGAAGCTATTTAACCAAGAGTTCCAAGTGGTGAAGTTGAAATCATCCCTTCGTAAATTTTACGGACGTCATCACGAGTTGGTTGACCGTTACGGAATATCCGTTTCACAGATGATAACGGATATGTTCCTAATGTCGTAACTACAATCCATTTCCCTGTTCCCGCATGTGATCTACCGAATTAGAGTTATTACTGGGTTTGTACTAACATGAGCAACACGAGAGGTGCCACATGTGGAGCAGGATCTGCTTACCCTTCAGGAGCACCTGAGATCACCCTCAGTTTTTTGTGGGGTTCGTGTTGCTCAGTTTTTAGTTTTCTATGTTATGTTTTGTGTACTATTGTTTGTCTGTTGGTCTTTTCTTTTTTAGCCATGGCGTTGTCAGTTTGTTTTCGACTTATTAGTTTGAATGTCCCTTTTGGTATCTTTTGCTTCTCTTTATGTAAGTGTGATCACATTTCAATGTTAGGATATCCAGGTTATTACTAGAAGTAGAGCAATTTGAACTCATTGAAAATCGATAATGAGATTCGGACGACAAATTGAAATCAAGATTTAAAAGAGTTTCTGTATGATTTCCTTCCACATTCACATTTGATCATGCTGATTATCTTGCAAAATATTTTTAGATATCAACCAATAAAACAGATAGAAAAAAATATAGTAGTGTTTCTCTGTGCTGAGTGGTCTTGCGTTTGTTTGTACTGTATTCCTGTCACGTAGTGTTGTCATTTTAGCGGCATTTGTAACATTGCCATATAAGCGGGAGGTTTGGCTAGCCATAAAACCAGGTTCAACCCATCATTTTTTCTTAAAATGTCCTGTACCAAGTCAGGAATATGGCAGTTGTTATAAGACAGTCAGTTTCTATGTATGTTGGCGTTTGCTTTTGTTGTAGTTCAGTGTTTCTGTTGTTCCGTTGTTTTCCTCTTATAGTTGATGTGTTTCCCTTGGTTTTAGTTTTTACCCGGATTTGTTTTTGCTTAATCGAATTATGACTATTGAACAGCGGTATACTACTGTTGCCTTTATTTAGTCCTGGTTACGACAGAGATATATTGTATGGATTCTGAATTGTTTTATTTGATTTTTATCAAAAATTCGATAGCAATACAAATTAACCAAACTTATTCAAAAACTTCTGCAGAATTTGATGAGCTTATATTTTAGTTAATTGATAGCAGTCAGAGACAACAGTTAGGTTAGCAAAGTATTTATAAATATATTAGAAGAAACATGGGGTCTTTCAGAATCGATTACTCTTGACAATGTCTACTGAAAAGATGATGCATCGAAATGTTCAATTCATTCGACGTGACATCGACAAGTAAACATTTAATATTTATAAAACGTACCGAACGAAAATGTATGTGTTAAGGAATATTTGTGTGACATATCAAACAGAAACTTTTGAAATTAAAGGATTGCAGTTGTAGGTTTTGCTCATTACCTTTATGACCTATGAAAAAGCTTACTCACAAATGATTTCAAAATGATATATAGATAACCATATTATTCAACACTTAAAATGGTGTAACATTGAACTGGCCGTCGTATCTGTTGTCAGTGAACTTAATGAATTTGATCAGTTTCTTAGTTTAGTTTTAGCAAGTTCATCTCCTAAAACAGTTTTCACCATTGAATGTCTCTATTGTACAAGGCTATCCTGTTTTGAAGTATAAATAAAATATTCGACATATTTAAAGTGGAAGTAAATTACATGGTTATTTTTTTTAATTCGAATATTGTGGTGTATTTTTCTAGTGAAAAGATAGTTTGAATGTTTCTTTTATTTTAGATTTTACATAATCAATTACTTAGAAAAGGGTAATGAAACTATTTTCAGATGATCACAAAATTTAACTAACTATATCCAATGACAAGTAATTAATGTATTCCAGATAGGTAACTTTGTGCTTAATCTTACCGAGCAGCCATTTGAAGTCCAGGTAGTTGAATTTGGATCATAAACCATACAACTGGTCGTCACAATGGCCAAGCTGACGTTTGATGTTGATATATCAGTATGATTGATTCCGGACAATGATACAGTTTCATTCCGGGTAGCACTTCGTCGATGCCTTGTATTCGAATCGGAATCATTTAATGTTAAGCCAGCTAAAACATTTTTTTAAATCTCTAGTATAATTGTAAGGACTGCATGAACATACAAAAAGTAAAATAAAAAAAATAACGAACTCCAAGGAAAATTCAAAATTTGGAATTATTTATCGTATTATACTTGAACACAGAAAAACAGAAAGAAACAACCAAAGTAAATAAACAATGTTTGTATTTTCCGGTTGTTGTCCAATTAACTTATATTTCGTGCATGCATATGAGCCATACATATCTTCTTATTTCTATATATATAGTACCTTTGTACCGTTTTACCGTCTGCCTTTTTTTTACTTTTGTTGTTAACCTTCTGTTAGCCTAGATATGTTTGTCTTATGGATGGTTTTTCTGTTGTGGGTCCGCTTGCCGTCGTTAACGTCTATATACACAATTTCTTGGTATAGCCATATACAATACTTTCAACACAAATACCGTTACATGATTGTTGATTAGTGAGATGCTGCGTGCAGCTATTTTGCTTATATAGAAACTATTTGAGAAAAGGGCTTGATAAACTGCTCTCTGCTAACAGAATATACAAAATATAAGTTAAAAATTTGCAAAATAGCGGTTTATTTCATGTTTTTGTTCAAAAAAGGCGGAAAACACCCGATTTACTTTAAATCCAACTATCTAGAAGTTATAATATAAATTCAAGTTCAAGGCTTTAAATAGAATGTTTACTATGGAAATAGAAACCAGACATTTGAAAGATTAATTAAATATACATACAAATTTAAAAATTTACAACTAAAAAGTCACTCAAATGGCAGTCGTAGCAGGACTTATGTGCAATAAGACTTAATTCCGTGAAACAAAATTACCTTGTATTGGTTTCAACGCTATATAGACATCCCCTTCTTTTAAGTGATGTTCTCGTATAAACACTTTATAACCGTAAGTTTCCATGTCAGTTGCTTTGACAGTTCTTTTGAAGTCAAAATCTGTCGATGACGGCTGCGATCCAGATTTAGCAAATAAGTAGTACAAATCACGTTGGTTTATTGCCTGCATTAGTTCATCATCAAGTTTGATATACCAAATTAAAACATCTGAGTCACTCCGCTTTTTTGATTTAAAGAACATCATCTGGTCTGGATCTTTTGGTTCGTAGTATGGTACATGCTCAGTGAAATAGGTAACTCCATGGTTTTTTATTTTCATCTTTAGTGGTACGTCAATCTTATTATTCAGTTCATCTTTGACAGCAATATTAATTACTTGTCCGGTAATTTTGCTAGCGTTCTTTGCATGAAGAATTGGTGACGTATCCATGACTGTTACCTTAGAAGAAATAAATGTCGTACATTGAAGTTTGTTTTCAGAAATTTCTCGTGTCGAAAGATATGATATAAACATTTGCAGTAGCGAAGCAGTGATGCCATGTGACAATTGCGTCTACAAAGGACTCGTCGTTGGCGCACGAATAAATTGGAAGGCTCAAACAGATAAATTCAAAACCCAAACTTCCAAATAGAAGTATCAATCTGGAGTCTCATGATATTTGACAATACAACACTATGTTTGAGTAGCAGACAATGTTAAGCCATCAATAGATTACAAAATGCGTAATGTATACAACTCATATAATATTTGTTTTAACTGTAAAATGATATCAAAAGGTTGACCTACTTTTTTTTTTATCTTAAATAAAAAAAAATACAAGATATCAAGAGGAATATTTATTTCCATTAGCATGGTCAAACAATAAAGTTTGAAAAATAAATCCTTCAAATTATCAGAAAAGAATAATACAATTCCAGCTACACAGGTATCCTCTGAGAAAAGTAAACACAAGAACATAATAACCATAAAACGTTTAGGTGTAGATCCGTTATTTTTTCCGATTTGTAAGTAGACATAAAATATTATGCATCAATTTATATTTATGTTTATTTATATTATGTATTATGTACAAACACATGTATAATACTAACATTTACAGGAGCCTGTTGTTCAGTGGTTGTCGTTTGTTGGTGTGTTTCTCGTTCCTTTTTTTTATATAGATTAGACCGTTGGTTTTTCTGTTTGAATTGTTTTACACTGGTCATTTTGGGGGCCTTTATAGCTTGCTGTTCGGTGTGAGCCAAGGCTCCGTGTCGAAGGCCGTGTTTTGACCTATAATTGTTAACTTTTTATACATTGTGACTTGGATGGAGAGTTGTCTCATTGGCACTCATACCACATCTTCTTATTCATATATATATGATAAATACACAGGGAAACTTAGCCCAATGCTGTTAGCTAAGTAAATTGTTAAACATATAGTGTAATAAAGATTATTAATTTGTGTTAAAAAAAAAAAAAAAAAAAAAAAAGATATCAAGAGGGGACTAAAAAGGATAGGTGAAAACGAACTGACAAGCAATGCACGTACATAACATACAATACTCAAGTTTGAGTAAAACAAGCCTTTAAAAAAGCGAACGTGAAATACGCTTGCATTTCGTTTTGCTCTATCTGTTTATTTCCGTGTAGTGACTTTATAGTTTTTTCTCATACAATAACGGATCGGCATTTTTTTCTTTTCATATGCAATCATGATAAAAATAACAATGATTAGTCACCTGAAATAAAACGAACATATTTTTTGTCCAGTACAAGTTAAATGATTGACAAGGTGATAATCAATATTTCAAAAATAAAATCCCTTAAATTACAAACAGTAAACACTGTTAAATAATTATGCATAAACTCAAGAGTCCAAAAAGTAACCAGTTCTTATTCTTTCAAATACAAATGTGGTGATGCACTTGTCGCTCCTCCAGAAATCCGTTGATAATTTATAACAGAGGAAATAAGGACAAATTTATCATAGTAGTTGTCATCTGTATTACAAATACTTCATAACCAATAATAAAGTAATAAAATTGTCCATAGATGTTCGAAAAGATCAGTACTACGTGAAGTTATCTTTAGACTATTGTTTATCTTTTAATTTCTTCCTTTTGCAATGGTGTTGTTTACTTTTCTTTCACAACCAAAAGCTTTCGATTGCCCATGTAATTTTTCTAAAACAAATAACCACAAAGTACACTGTTTCAGTAGTTTCCTAATAAGCAGCAATTAAGAAAGTAATTATTTGCTCAAATCACTTCGATTATGTTATTGAAAATGCTATACATCGTATTTTTTAACCGACCTTGTAATGCAAAAGCATGTTTGTAACAAAATGACATACCTGAAGATTTATGTTTGTACCATCACTAACATTGGCCAACGACTCATTGTCAAACTCTAAGGAAATCCCTTTCCTGTAGACTTCTGATTTATTATTCAGAAATACTTCTTTACTGTCTTTATCAAGACTCAGAACAACCCCTGATCTATTTATTAGTTGTTCCCCTCCCCCAGAACATGTTGTAGTTGATGTCATGTCTAATACTTCGTCCAAAGATTCAATCAGGTCCTCTGCACTATCCTTTGTCTGAAAAGAAAACAGATCATTCTGAGCAAAAATTGCTTTTTCGTCTTGAAAATCTGTGCTCACATGTAAATGTATATTGTATTTTGCCAATCAAGTGCAACGAGACCTTGTTTAGATAGGGATCTACCTTTCTCTCATAAGTTGACCCCTTTATACAATGCACAGCCAGGCTAGACTGTCTACTGCAATTACAGATAAGTTAATGTCTTATTGGCCTCGCGCATCACTGAAGAGACATGAATTGTCGAAATGCACATCTGGTGCAGTAACTTTGGTACCGTTGATGTTATCATAATTGATAGCTTATTCTTTAGTACGTTGATAGATTGATAACATCATTGCCAACAGCGCCAGAAAAATATTTATCGGTAGCCTATTTGCCTACAGCTCATGGAAACTTAAGGAAACAAAAGTCCCAAGTTCAGTCAAGTGATATAATATGTCTACACTTTCGATAGTTAAAATTAAGATTTTCACAAGAACGCGATGTACTTTGTTTTCCAGTGGATATCGTGTTGGTTCATTTTGAGTTTTCCCAAATTCAGTTTATGAATTACATTGATATATTTATTAATTGTTCATAGTGTTGTTTGTATTTTTTGCAATTTTTTCCCTAGATATTTTTATCTCTTAACTTTGGTTTTCATCATGTTCATGTCTCTTATTTTGTTATGAAAACATATTACACCATTACAGCCTTAGAATTAATAGTTCTAATCGGATTTGATATTTTAAGCTAAAATATGATAACATGATCGCAAACTATTTTCTTTTTTGAAAAGCCATTTATGCTGCTTACAGCTTCTGCCATTTCCTTTTGTTTTTTCTTAATTTTTCTCTTATTTTTATAACACTTTTGAACCAATTCATCAAATGTTGTCTGCTCGTCTTGTTTTTCTGGATGCTGGCTGTAGTATTCTCTGAAATCGTCTTCAACATCCTCTACTTTTAATTCTTTCTCCAAATTTTCTGAACCTGCTGTTTTCCAATAGCTTAAAGTCTCTGATATACCATTCACCATCTCTAAAACAAACAAACAAGTATCAGTGTGGATAAACTCATCATAGATACCAGGATTGAAATTTTGTATTTGCGCCAGACGCGCTTTTCGTCTACAAAAGACTCATCAGTGACGCTCGAATCAAAAAAAGTTAAAAAGGCCAAATAAAGTACGAAGTTGAAGAGCATTGAGGACCAAAAATTCCTCAGTGTGCTACTGCTCATTTGTGATACGCCCGCTTGTATCAGTGTTGGCTACTGCTCAATTGTTATACGCCTACTTGTATCAGTGTGGGCTACTGCTCATTTGTGATTACCCCGCTTTAAGAACTCGGTAAACAGGAAATTGAAGACCAATATCAAAAATGAAGCAGATGGTATAGCATGTTCTCATGAAACTGTATAACAAAATTCAGGAAATTACTATTTGTAAATCCCAAGATTAATGCCATGAAAGTTTAGACATCATCATGGCCATTATGGTTTGAAATATATAAGTTTTCAATAAACTGGAAGTTGATGATCGATGAATCTGAAAAGATATCACACAGTAAAGGTTGCACGTCTGTAAATAAAGACAGTGCAATTTCCAATAGGAACTCCTTTTACGGTTCAAACTGTGCCACTTTTACTATAAAGTTTCGTAAAAATTATATCCTAGAATTGAAAGTGTATATGAACTACTATTTTTTTTTTTCAAAGGTCAAAACATAGGGCTGTGTTTATTTTATATGTGTGTTATTTGTATGCTTCAAACTTCTAAGAGTTAAAACTTATACTAAAATTCTGTAATACCCCTCCCATCAATTTGGGTCTTCCTCAGAATCAATGTGACCGCTATCCATGTGTATTCATACTGGTAACATTCTCAAGTTGTGTCTCTACGAGATGAAGCATAAAGATCATATCTGTGAACCAGTAGGTAAACAAAACAATATCTATGAATTTAAAATTTCTCCCAAAAAGAGGCGTGGTTTGTGAAACAGCTGTATGTACAAAGTGCAACATATAGCATGTTCGCTCAAAGGCAGATAATAAATCTAAGGAAAACTTTATTTTCGATTCCGTAGAAAAATGCGACGAGGCCATTATGTTTTAAATATTTAAGGTTCATCAAAACCTTTTAGCAAATATGGCCGTATTTACACCAAAATAGAGAAGATTTTGTGGTGTAAACACGGCAATAATTTTCAATTCCTTTTGATGAACATTAAGTCTTTAGTAAACCGGAAGTTGACGACCACTGAATCTGAAACCGCAACACACGGTTAAAAAATGTTCAAATGAAGTCTAAAAACATATTTAAAGAAGGTCGTATTTATAGATTTCTTTAAAAAATGCGACGAAAATTGCATAGGTGGCTGGTATATGTGTTTGATTATACAAGTCTTCTGTAAACAGAAAGTTCAGAATTGATAAACCAGATCAAACGGTATAGCATATTGAAATGAAACCTGACAAAATTTTTTAGGAAGTTCGGATTAACAATTCCGACAGAAATTTCATACATTGCTATTATGTGTCAGAATAAATAAGATTTCGGTAAATTTGAAGTTCAGAATCAATTAATCTGAAACCACATCACACGGTACGGCATGGTCACATACAACCTGAGAACAAATTTCAGGAAGCTTTGATCTGTAGTTCCTGTAATTCCAAGAGACGGACGAACAAACGGACGGACGGACATGCAGACGGACATATGGATGGAGAGACAAATTTTATATTTGACATCCATAATTCAGGAACATAAAAACAAAATAATTGTTATATTTTGGGGACCTTTTTCGTGTCTGGAACATACGAACGAATAGACAGGGGTAAAACAGTATAGCCTCTCCTTCGGAGTGGAAATTTAATTAATGTTTTGATGTTCCAAAAATAAAAAGCCTTTGATACATAATGGTATGTTCAGAACATAAAAATTCCAAAAATGTCAATTATTTTGTTTTTATGTTCCTGATAAAAGAATGTCAAAAATAAAATTTCTTATAATTATCAAAGAAAATAGAGAAAAAAAAAACACGCGTTAAAAAAAAATTGAACTTATTTCTACTATTCAGTGTCACGATCAACACCTTTCACCCCCTTCCTTTGCTATTTTTTTTTTTATTATTACTATATATATATAAAAATATTAATTTTCGCGAACCATTTAGGTCACGGAAATTCCATTTTTTGCCATCAGTAAGGAGAGTTGTACAAATAATGTGAATACACAGAACCCCGATCCAATTCATCTTTTGCTAAAAATATTTATCATTTTCTGTTTTGTATCTCCTAACATCATTCCATTTTTCTCTAATTTTGATTAAAATATGCCAAAACCTGTAGTAAAAATAGATGTATGCCCCAAATAAACATTCCACGATTGGTTGAACTACTATGGCGTCGATGTACAAAGCAACACAAGCCTCGATGTAAAGCAACGCAAGCCTCGATGTAAAGCACACGCTTCCCAAGAGTAAAGAGAGTTGTACAAATAATGTGAATACACAGACACCAGACCCAATTTTTCTTTTGCTAAAAGTGTGAATCATTTTCTGTTTTGTATCTACCAACAACATTCCATTTTTCTATAATCCCGATTTAAACATGTCAAAACCTGCAGTAAAAATAGATGTATGCCCCAAGTAAACATTCTTCGATTGGTTGAAAAGCTGTGGCCTCGATGTAAAGCAACGCAAGCACACGCAAAAAATTCCGTTGACATGTTGAACTTCGACCCCGGGATTCAGCCGATTTACAAAGAGATTTTCTTGCGCTCAAATGTAATTCTAAGTGAAGTATACTGGTAAAGTAAAATTATATTCTTTTACAGAAATATTTACATTTTATCATTAATGTATTATCATGCTTCTGCATATTTACGCTGAGCTTTAGTTAAATATAATTCTAACAAATTTTGTTACGGCAAGCATAAAGAGTAAGGGAGCTACCATTTGATTTTTATGGGGGGGGCTAGGATGAAAAATTTTGTCCTGCCTTTTTATTTTTCCCTCTATTCGGTCCTGCCTTTTTATTTTTCACTCTATTCGGTCCTGCTTTTTTTTTAAGTTTATCCTGACTTTAAATTGTCATCCTGCCTTTTTTTTTTGCAAATAATGTCATCCTGCCTTTTTTTTACTCAAAACTCCTGTCCTGCCTATTTTTTTCAAATCTCATCCAAGCCCCCCCCCCCCCCCCCCATAAAAATCAAATGGTAGCTCCCTAAGAATATTTCGCGCCAAAACAAGAAAATAACCTGTATCACCAAATAAGTTTATCAGTATCTTTCTGAAATTTTCCAATAGAAAATAGGCGTTTAGTATAGAGAAATGTTGGTAAGTATTACTTATTAATGTTAATGTTCTCCAAAGGTGGTTCTCTAGACCTTCTTGGCGGTCAATTTATTCCCATTTATCAATTATCCCCGATGACAGAATGGCAACCCAGTCGATTTGTGTCACGAGTGAAAATCATATCTATTTGATGGAATAATTTCTTTATTAACTGTACATGCAGCATTTTTGTATTTTTTGTTAACTGTGCACATACCCTTTGCATTTCTGCAAGACAAATGGGTTGTGTATATATGTGTGTAATAATAATGGCGGACGATAAAAGTTTGTTACGTCAGTGAGTGATCGCGTGACATTATTATTTGTAAACAAACGGACTCGTGTAACACGTGTCGGAATTATCCATACAAGTTGCAATCAATCTTATATTTCACTTTTTGATGATATTTCTGTGTCTGTTAGTAGGTGTTGCAGATCAGAAGTCATAATATCATTGTACCAACGATACTAATGTTGCTGTTCAGTAGTTAGTTGTGAATTTTTTTTATAGAATTAGAAGGTAAGTAAAATAATTCTATGAAAAATGACAACTCTACCTGTATTTTTTCCTCAATTTTTAAAACACGCATAATATTGAAGAGCATTTACTTCCCTTGAACACTCACCCATCACCCCCCTCCCCCCTTTCCCTAAAACTCATAGTACTGTAACGTGTAACCAGGCGTTTATATCCCAAACGTCCGTTCCAGTAATTTCTTGGATCCAAGTTGTCCACAAACAATACGGCAATACTATTAACTATCTATATTATGCACAATGAACTAAAATATACACACTGACTCTTTGCCGATATAAAGTAACAACGGACAATTATATATATACAAATATAACACAATCTTACAGCTTGTCCTCCAGATGGGACGGTCTGTCACTACAAGACAGTGTGGCTGGTACAGTCTGTCAATACCAGACAGTGCTGCTGGTACAGCTGTCCTCCGAGTGAGACAGTCTGTCACTAGCAGACAGTGCGGGTTATTGCAGTCCGTCCTCCGTATGGGACAGTCTGCTCTGCCAACTTCCTATGTTAGACCAACTTGTACCCCAGTACAAGTTGTCCCAAGTACAAGTTGTCCTCGACAATATCACTTACAGCTATGTAACGTGCCTTACTCTTGTACACTGGTCTTCTTAATGAGAATATCGACAGAACCCGAATAGCATTCCTCACCCGCTTATATACCCCAGGGCGAATACAATATTTACTGGATAGGGGTGTTCTCTAAATGTTCCCGATACCGAACACAAGAATCCCTCTCAAACACCCCCATACCCTTGGACCCAACCACTGACTTTCCCGCCAAACGTCTAAATCGACATAACGCTTCTTTCTGCGTTAAACATGTATTGATACAACAAGGTTCTTCTTGTTTGTAACCATAACGACCAATAAACATTACATAACCCACGCCTCAATCTACATGCGTCCCGCATGATATAACATTACAATTACAAAACAAAATTCATCCATAAATATATGTACACAATCTTGACTTTACTCAATTACACAATCAGCCACCCAGGCTGGTTTATTACTCTTATGACGACCATTTTCCTCCTCTAATCTCATTGAGGCACGATTCTTTTTCATTGGGCGTTTTTTTTTCCTGTTGCACTTAGTGCAACTAGTGACATATGCTCTCACTTCAGATTACAAACCAGGCCAATAGAAAGACTGGCGTATTT